AACAAAAGCACTGCTCTACTTACTATAAGAGTAACAGTCACGGGCGTGGCTTGGGTGATAAAGTCTGTAAAAAAAACATGAAAAGAGTTAAAAGTTCTGCATTTTATTATGACGTTTTCGTAATATATTGTAATATTTATAGCGTGGGTTACTCGATGTCTCTGTATTTGTTACATAAGTTTCAAACAAAAACAAACTCTAAACAACACTTCTGAAATCAACAATTTGTATTCACTATGATAACAAATATTGCAGTAGAAGAAATGAGATTGCAGAAGTTACAGTGATAAAAAGAATGTCGCCTGTAGTATAAAAAAAACAATCCACAATACACTAAATTTAACTGAAATGACATCAAATGCAACAACACGCATTAAACACCTATTATAGTATGACACAATGTATAATTGGTCTGCTTACTTGTAGCAATCAAGAATCCACCCAGCTTTAGCATCTTCTTCACTTCTCTTTTACGCACTTGTTCAATAGCTGAACAAAAGATTTCTTCCCATCCATATAACTTCAACAACTTCATCCCTTGCAATAATTCGTTAGATTTTTTCAAACGATTATCCGAAAATTTCTAATAGGAATACAATTGACGGGTATGTGTTTTAGCGTTTAGAGCTTATGCTCACGGGTATACCTGGGACATTACCCACGGCTAATGATCTGACTAACGAGAAACTTGTCAGAGGTCATCGCGGCCATACAGTTATGAGTATAGGGGATTATATCGATTTCCCATTAAGCATTCTTATATACATACCAAGACGTGCTTCTGTATTGTTGACATAGATCCGCCTAGCTTGAATTGTATGGGTGTTGTGATCAGGAACACAGAGGCACCAATCAACGCGGCATAGCCAAGTTCAATGTATAGAAGAACTAGGATAATTATTAACTGCAGAAGTGAAAATACCAATAGCAGATTCAATATATGTACGAGATTTGTAGTCGTAGTCTGTCTCACGTGTATACATATAGCTAAACTGGCATTGTCATATCCCTTGCAACAC